CCCCACCCCCCACCCTCGCGCCCACCTCCCTCCCCCTTACTTTCTAATTACATCCTCAGTTTAACTCAAAATACCTGGGAAGTGTTTCTGCTGAAATAATTTTCCACAAGCCCAAATGTTTGAAAGAGCACGTGCCCAAACTTCGCAGTAACGGCTTTTAGGCAGGCAAATTTGACAGAAAAGTTAAAGAATTTGCTTTTTCCCCACATCCACGTGGGTTGGGCACTTTCTGAGAGCACGTCTCTCGGGGCGAGTTGTGGTACCACAGCAGAGTGCTCGTGGTAGAGCAGGGCTTCACGCAGGGACGTTTCGCAGTCGAGTACGTACTCACCTTTGTTTCAAGCAGATTTTCATAAATTGTGATGAATGGAATACTTTCAGTGAAGATCTCCAACGCTTTTGGAGATCTTAATGTTTAAATGGTATTAGCTTGTCCTTTTTTTAAAAAAAAAAACAACAACAAAACAATAATAGATCAGTATGATCACTCTTACACCCATTTTTTGCAATACATAGTTACTGAAGTGCTATGACTTGAGTGAGTGTGAAAAAACTGAGACGCGAGATTAGCAAGAGAGCCAAAGCCTATGAAATTTCATTTTCCTAACAGGGAGAATGCACTATGAAAAAGTTGATGAATTATTGTGATAGCAGGATGGTGTTACTTGCTGAGTTATGGACATACTTTCTGAGATTAGATGCCAACCTCAGTGTATAAATAAGCCTTTTGTTTTGGTGTGTCTTTTATTTAATAGCGTTTATTCCATTTTAAAATAATAATTATTCATGCTTCCATAGCAAAGTGGAAGGCTATTACGTGATAGCTGAAGAATCTCCCCGTATCTCAGGAAATCCTTTCTTGCAACATCTATTGTTGGGTTCTGACTTCTGTAGAACTTGTGAAGGAGTAATTAGAGTTGTCGTCTTGTCCTATTTAGCCAAGTAGGAAAGAAACAGGACACCTTCAGAAATATTTTACTGAGTATTTACAAAATCACTTTGAAATCATGTTAAAGATGAGAGAAATAGTTTACACTTTTAAGTTGGGAGCAAGAAAAAGATGTGGTTGAGCTTAAATATGCCTTTTTATATTAAAGAAAGAGAGGTAAAGAAGTGCAGAATCAGCTGGTTAAAAGTGAAAAAAGTGTGGCTGTAATCTTACCTGCCAGCAGCAAGGACAAATATCCAAGGTAGTGTTGGGAAATTGTTCTTATTTTAGCAGTGTGCTGGAGCAGAGGAAAATATTACTAGGAAGAGAGGAAGAATATTCTTTAGGTCTTTCTGTATGTCTTTTCTTTTATAACTTTCTAGTGAGGTTAATTTGAAGAAAAGACTGAGGTTATCTCAGGT